TAGCAATTTGTCACCCTTGTGATGTCGGGTAAGTGGCCTTTCGGGTAAATAACTTTCGGGGAATCATACCGTAACCATAAAGAACCCATCTTTCTATATAGTGTTGGCCCCGCGGGTATCCACTTTTCGGTCACTATATAGTCCGGTGAACATTAGTGCATGTGTTAACCTGAGGGTCACTCTGCCAACCTGAGGGTCACTCTGCCATAAAATGATATCAAATATAGCAACAATCCCTTTGGACGCAAGTCCTCCTTTTGAGAGGCCATTTAAATGCTCCGAACAGTCATTAACTAAAGAGCATCCCAAAGGGCGTACATAACACCTATTAGAAGGCGATCCATTTAAATTGTTTGGCTATATAAGATAATCACATTACCCCGAAGTTCATTTTCAAAAAGATATGTTAACATTTGATTTCACGCCTTTTGGATACTAACTCAGGTCCTTTCAATGGTATAACGAACGGCCAGACCTAATGAGTAACCATTCGATCTAAATAAACTAACTTAGATACCCTCTCGGGCGTCTGTCGACTATATCTTAAGCAACCGATATGGTTTCAGAGCTTAAACTGATATATATATTACTATATATAACATTTAGTCTGTGAACTGCACGCACGGGTTGCAAAAGCAGTGAGCCCAGAGCATTTGGCTGCCGATTACCCATTCCCCCTTTTAGGGGACACATAGAGAATGGAGTTTATAATTGGGGTACAGCGCTGCCCCTACTGCTAAGCTTTCATCCATTCAAGATGTGCATCACATAAGTGATAGAGGTTAAGCTTTACAGTACTTAACATATCATCTTTAGCTTAAATCCTTTGGATTCTTACCACCCACTGGCCTTTCAACCAGCTGTTGCGAAGCTGCTTTCGCACCTTCCGCGGTACCAAAGGCTTTAGGGACTTCCAGCAATTTGATAGTGTCGCTTCATTAGGAGGTGATCCGCTCGGCGGTATTGCTATCCCAGAAAATCTGGTACACCACAACACATGTTGCGCTCCTAATGTCACTAGCAATTTACTTCCATTTTTACGAAGGGTTAGGAGCTGGTTGGGTTTCATTTGTTACCTCCCTAGAGCCTCCCAGCAACTGATCCTTCCTTCAACCAATCTTTTAGAAATATAAATTTACCAGCATATATTGGACTTATCATGGGTTTGCCTCGACTTCACCGAGTTACATTCCTACACCGATGTGTATGCCAATACCGTTGGCATGTACGTCTTGT